TCGTTATCCTTAGGAACAGGTTTTCAAATGTTTTTTTCTTTTTTGGAATAGTTTTTCTTTCTTTGCCATGTCATAGAAACAACCAAATTTCCTCATTGGTTGCATTATAATTAGGCGCCCCCTTATCAGACCTTTCGTAGATGAGGATTACTAGTTATAAATTAACCATGACCATAATGTCTCCGCCATCTACAGATAGTTTTTGTTTTACTCTGACATTTGCATGAAGGCTCTGCTGTAAGCTGCAGACCAGATTTTGTCTTCAACCCAGAAGGATGGTCTCAGAGCCTTTTCTAGGTACAGAAGTGGACTCTACCGGCTACTTTAAATTGCCAGCGCTTTAAAACATAGCCTCTAGGGTACAGGCTTCTGAATTAGCATCTCTTAGGTGACTTTTGGACATACTGGTGGACTGAGTCAAGACCTCCAGGACTGTTTTCAGCCAAGAGGGCTGCTAACCCAAGACCCGTGGAACACTGATTAATTACATAAAACTGAATGAACTGATATGGGAAATTTCACTGTGTTTTTTTGGTGGGGAGTGGGAGGATGTTGATTTTGTTTTAATGTTCTGTATTCTGGTTCTATAAATAAACTTTTCTTTCTTCTTAAGCTATCTGTAACCTATAAAATTTAGTAGGCTCTGTTTGTGTACACTGAAATAAAACTTAAAAATTCAGGAACTCTTACGAGTCTCCTTACTTTTCACGACAAGGTAGTTACTTGCAAAGGTTTGATAAGAATCTGTTCTCCTCCTTAGCAGGATACACTTAGATGAACTGATTGTACAATCAGGGCCTTACATGGAGTGCCTTATTCAAGAATGCTGCTTATTTCATCAGATATGACCAGCCACTTTTAAGAACTACAGTTGACTTTACTCATGGAGCTGGCTGGTATGTGGCTTACAGCATCCCAGCCTTACAGGAGGTGAGGAATTTTACTTCCTGGCAGACCAGGAACCTTAAAAAATTTGAAGGACTTTAAGAACAAATAAATTCACCCAAATTTATAGATCCTGCAGGCAAAATTTGATGGCAAGCGTTTTCTAGTCACGGGAAAGCAAAATCTTTTGAAAGATCGTTCTGGGATTCCTTATGAAAACTTCTAAATGGAAACTCATTTTTTAGTTGGTCAAATTACTGGATTTTGCAAACCAAATCGAAGAATAATCTTTCTTTGAGATTGTTATGGTCACTAAAGGAGAGGGGAGGCTAGGGGAAAATTGCGAAAGACTTTGAAATAGACCACTCTATTTCACACTCTTCTGAGTCTTCTATAGACTCTATAGAGTTAGTGCCTTTCGTTTTCTTTCAGCTGCTTTATAAAAAACTGATACGAATGCAAATAATTCTTGTCCATAGAAATAAAAAGTGTGTCCTACTATACCAAGCATAATATACAAAGAATATAGTAATATTCCAGTGAAATGCAATTGATTATTGCCATGTGAACATTAACTGATTTTCCATCTATTTGTGCATTCATTCCTGATCAACTATAAAACTTCAGTATTTTGAGTTCTCCTTTATAGCATCTTACTGGTTCCCTCTTTAATTAAAGAGTCAAATGAAATCCTTGATGTTTCATTTTCTATTTATATAAGCATCATGATTTTACCACGTAAAAACATTTATTTTGCTGGTGATTGTACTTGCCTGTTACATGTTTCCCAGTCCTTTGCTTGCATACTTCCTGTGGCATAACTTAAGTGTGTCTCTTAGAAACAGCATACAGATGAGTTTTGTTTGATTTTTCCCATCAGGCAATCTGTGATGTCCTCAGCTGTTGTGGGTGAAGTCCATTCACATCGATTATGATTAAGCTTAACTTAAAATTAATTTACTTCATATTATTTTGCATACTTTCTTTATAGTGATTTTTCTTGGCTTCTTGGTAATCCTTTCCTGTTATCGGTTGGATTGATGGAGTCGTCTTAGCTTCTACACTCTATCAGCTACTTTCCCAGGGTGTAGCTGAGGACAGTACGCTTTCCATCAGAGGCAAGACGGGAGTAATGCACACAATGTTGTCATCCAGATCATCATATCATATTAAATGGATGTCATACTAGATCAGTCTGCTAATATGATGACAGCAGCTTCTGGGTTTGCAAATTACCTGGCTACACACCTTTTCCACACTGTCGTAGAGGTTCTGGATCACAGCTCTGGGATACCTCTCTAGAGGATGAGCTGATATAACTGGGTCCTAATGAGCCTCAGCAGACAAAAGAGAGGTAGAACTATAATCATTTTCAGAAAGGGAAAAGAGAAAGATGTTAAAACAACTGATTTGCCATCTTGAAGTTTGTGTTTTTCTGTCAGCACCGCCAATGAGATATTGCTGAGAAAGAAGTTCTGTGTGTTGTTCTGAAGGAAGGTACTGAAAATGTTAGAAATTGCGTGAGAAGCTGTCTTAGTTGAAAGTAAGGCAAGGAGAGAAATAACTGAACAACATAGAATATTGAAGTGTTTAAATAAATAAAAAAATTAAACAAATCAAATCAAACTATTTCTGTTTCTTTGACACATATAGAAGGAAAATGTTTACTAGGTGAATTTGATCAGACAGACATGTTTTGAAGGCAATTGTAGCGAAATTATATAATACAGAGTTTCCTGAATTTCTAGATTCTAAGCTTTTAGAGAGATAACACAAAAGAAACGATTTTGTAAAAACTAAGATTGGCACATGCAGAAACAAAATTCGGAATGAATTTTTTTGGCCAGAGGGCAGGATAAGGCAAAAAAATCCTTCTCCTGAGTATTTGGGTCACAATGACTTATTTACATAGATTTTAAAATTTTGCTGATCTTTCGATTTATTATTTTTTTCCAAACTCTAGTTGCAATGAAACGAACTTCGGTATGAGTGTAACTCGCACACCCATCCTTTTTCATCCTACCTGCCTCAGGTGACACTCTTCTTGAGTGTGGTGAGGAGAGAGGGAGAGAGAACTCCCATCCCTCCTTTGCTGCCTTCTTCCATGTTGCTTCTCCAGATCCTGGGGTCTTTTCATCTCTCCTGTCACCACCATGACAAGTCGCACACTTCTCCGCCGACCAACACCTCTGGAACTTGGAGTCTGCAGTCCCTCTAGATACAGTGGGACTACCAGGGGCTCAAAGGGTGAACGTGGAACCAGCTGCTACGCTTCCCTTTCTGCCTTATTTCTTATACCACAGAACCACAGGGCTGTCTGGAGGAAGCAGATTTAGCAGAGGGTAGGGCTAATTAAATGGACTTACGATGTGGGAGTAAATAAGAGGTAAAAGCATGTGTTAAAGTCAACCTTACAGCAGAACAAAAGCCACAGAGGACTTGGGAACAAGGGTGGGCGGAAGACTTGGCGTGAGCTGGAGAATCTAGAGTGGGCTTTGCAATTCCAGATTAGGCTCCTGAGACCCCCTAGCCAGCCCGAGAGTTGAATGGTCCTTCTTTTCTTATCAACACACATCTCCCTAAGAAAAACAGTGGTTCAGAGAGAGCAATGTCTCCATTCATGGAAGAGAAACATTTCTCTACATGCCGTGAAGACTGCACAAGTCTCTTCCCACCAGGAGGGATGCGTTTTAATTTTCTTTTTACTTCTAAACAATGGCCAAAGGCAAAACCTCCTGAAAGAGGGTTCAGGAGGCCTTAGTTGTCCTTCATACCTCAGGCCAGACAAAAGACTTGGCCGAAGTCCTGGAATGACCACTGTCCTGAACCTGGAGCTTGAACACATTCCTACACAAGGTGCCCCTCAGGACTCTCAGCAAGAGGGAGGGAGGCAGTGATTTGCCGTCTTCCTGTCTAAGCAACTGACTTCCGGTTGCATTAAGGAAAACAAAGTCCAGGTGACTTCTGTCGGTGTACTTTCCAGGACAAATGTCCACTGCTTTCTGTGCACACTCTCTCCTTTAGTCAATAAAAAATGACTGAAGCAGAACTAGCACAAGACTTTTCTCTCTGAATCTGTTGTTCTCAAACGAGGTCAATTTTGCCCTCCAGGGAACATTTGGCAATGTCGAGTGACATTTTTGGTTGTCACAATGGCAGGGGTGTGGGAGGGGAGTAGGGGAAGATGCCAGGGATGCTGCTAAATAATCCTGCAATGCACAAGACAACTCCCTGCAAGAAAGAATTATCCAGCTCTGAATATCGATAGTGCTGCTATTGAGAAATCCTGACCCAAATGTCTGGAAAAAATGAGATTTCTCTTCATCTGTGACCAGTACTCAGTATGCTATCACCCTCATGGCAATCCTGGATTTTACTTTTAAAATTTATCAGCCAATCTTCCTATAAGTCATCCCCAAGAAAATGGAAAGTAATGATGGCATTTCCCGAGTTCTTACTACGTACCAGCTTCTGAGATAAGGATTTTACATACTTTATCATTCCCATTTTCAGAAGAGAACATTGAGGCTTAAGGCAATCAAATAAGTTGCAGATATAATAAAATGTAATATTGCACAGGTGGAAATCAATCCAGAACACCAAAGAATGTCTGCTCTTTAACTCAATGCCAACAGTATCCATTCAATTCACCCAGAATTCTATTTTTCATCATGAGAATGTTTCATCTTCTGACAAAAAATATTTGTTAAATAAATATGACTTTGTAATTATGGTCATTCATCATTTGGAGCAAACTTGATAGATGTATTTAAAAACAGACATAGTTTTAAAACACCCTCTTTGCCAAAAAAAAAAAAAAAAAAAAAAGCTATGTATTTTCTGTATTTCAGTCTCAAATTTAAGGAATCTCTTCATTTTTGGAACTTCCAGACTAATAATGCATATAATGCTTTAAATGACAGAACCAGGTAAAATTGCAAGGAAGCTTGCTCTATCTTGAGGTCCCCAAATTTAAAAAAAGAAAAACGAAAAAAAAGCAATAATTTATAACGTTTACAACAGCATATTGAATTTTTTATTCGTGTGCCTGTCTCCTCCACTGTCCTGTCTACTAGTTTTCTACTGCTGCATAACAAATTAAAACAAACAGCAACTTAAGACAACAACTATTTATTAGCTCACACTTCTTAAGTCAGAAGTTCTGGCACAGGCATGGCTTAGCTGAGTTCTCTGCTCAGAGTTTCCTGAGGCTGAAATCATAGTATCAGTCAACTGAGTTCTTGTGTAGAGGCTCTGTGGAAAATCCACTTCCAAGCTCATTTAGGTCATTGGCAGAATTCAGTTCCTTGCAGTTTTAAGACTGAAGTCTCATTTCCTTGCTGACTGTTGCTCTCAGCTCCTAGACTCTGCTCTGTGGTCCTTGCCAGGTGGCACTCTCTAGCTCCAAAGCCATTAGCGGAGAATCTCCCTAATGATGAATATACCTCATGCTTTGAACCTCTTTCCAGGAAGAGCATAACTCCTTTTAAGTGCTCACCTGATTAGGTCAGCCCCACCAAGGATGCTCTCCCTATCTTAAGGTCATTTAATTTGAGACCTTAATAACATCTGCAAAATCCCTCAAAGCAGTATCTATATTAGTGTTTTACTGAATAACTGGGAGGAGGTGTGTGTACATCAGGCGTGCTGGAATCTTGGGGTTCTTAGATTCCTGCCTAGTTGACAGTTTGTAAATTCCTTGATGGCAAAAAACTGGGCCTTGTGTATCTTTGTCTGATACCCAATTGATCATTCATAAATGTTCACTAAAGTGAGTTGTTTAAAAGGAATTAGGAAATTATGAAGTCAGGGAATTGTTACACGGGAGCATTAATTTCCAGGTAAGGACAACTCTTATCAGGAAAAAGATCAGATAAGATGCAAGGGCCAAGATACCCGTGGACTGATCATCATCCTGATCTCTTACTCTGCCAAAACATTAAGTGCAGTTTTACTTTCATTGTAGGAAGGCAGCTTTGATTTATTAAGATAAGTTAAGAGAAAAAGAATTCCTATTCCAGAAACATGCAAGAGGAACAACTTTCCAGAATCACATCTATACTGAGTAAAGGGTGTGTTCAAGTGGGTTCACAGTGCCCTGAGCTTCCCTTGGCTAGACTGCCAGCTTTCTGAGGGTGGAGCCACATATTATTCACATTTCTATTCCTAGGGCTAGCATGGTGCCTGGTTCAGAAGACAGATTTGAAAGTTAAAAGCTGATTGAATGTTTGTAGCATGAATGTTATTTGACGTGTCATGGCTAGTAGTCATTCAATTCCTGGGGGCGAGGGCTCTGTCCAAGGCATTTTCTGCAATCCAGCAATGCCTTTCGAGTCCTGGCAGCCTGTAAGCATTCAACAGGTGCAATCTTTGGGCTATGCACTCTTGCCTTAAAATGTACTTTCTCCTCTTCCAAACCAGCAGTTGATCCTTTTAGGCTACGCAGTATAAAGTGAAGCTGAATAATATCTGAGGTAGTCACACAATGCTTATTTCTAAGAAATACTCAGCTTTATGTTAACGCAAAAAAAGGAAAGTTTCATCTTCCTTTCCAAATGGACATTCATATCAGTGTCTAGTAAATGTATTTAGGGGAAACATTACATCCTTTGGAGGGCAGAGCTTTGATTCTGAAAAAGAAAAACGTTTCTTTTAGGTTTTCTCAGCTCCTGCATTGCTAGCTTCAGACAAGGTACAAATTATCTGCAATTCTGTGGGCGTCCCCTGCATTTAAGTCGTACTGGGCAAAAAACGCTTTTCCGGCCTTCTAACTCCAGATACACGCTACCAGGGACAACTAGCTTTTTCCGCTTCACTGTAACCCGGGAAGCCGAGGAGGTCGGGCCCGCGCTGTGACGTCACCCGGCTCGCAGACCACGGCGCAGATCTGAGGCTCCGGTGATTGGCTTGGGGTCCATGACGTCACGGGCCGGGGCGGTCCCGGCCTCGTAAGGGCCCAGGGAGGCTCCCGGTTCGTTTC